TCACCAGTGGAATTAGAATTAGAATTAGAAAGCTGCCATTCGTGGTCGCTACTCCAGAACATCTAGTCATTACTTTGTTTATAAGTCAGAACAGTTTTCCTCTTTAATCTATTCGCAACGATAGTATGCGTAATCCCTCACCACAGAAATGAACTTGATAACTGATATTATTGACGGATTCATGGTTGAAGAACATTCCAAATGATTTTACCAGCTGGTTGCTTTCAGTGGTTGACTGATTCTTGTACCATCTCGAAACCATAATCTAATTGGTAAAAATTCAGAAGACAGGAAAGCCTATGATTCCAATCTTGCTAGCGATTTAAATCATTAAGTACAACGTCAGTAAAAATTTCATAAGCTACTGTGTACTAAGGATTATCGTTAATGACTTCGAATGGAGACTAGTGAATGGTATCAAAATTATAAGCGCGTTTCAAAAGGGAATGTTCAGCTCATTCAGAAAAAATATATCTCGGCGTCAAAATGTCATTCCTCTATACAATAACATCCATACAGCAATCGGTTCACTGAACCAGGGAAGATTAATCATAGGCAGCACCTACAAGGTTGCAGCCTGCGTTCGTAATGTCCGTAATTTATGCTGTTAATGAAAATTGTAAAAATTTTTTTGATAGCGTTGAATGATGATGTGATAACTCGAATCTATCCGAATATGCTAGAAACAAATGCCTTAAATCAATGCTCTGCTGACTTGAAATTGCTTCGCATTTTGATATAGCTGATATTTTGTTTTTCAATAAATTTAAATAAACATATATTTATGTTCCAAAATCGTAATCTTCGACGCCCTCAAACTAAAATTAAGCATAGCAAGAAGCGAATAAAAAATATGATTTACTTATTCGAGATTTTCCTGTAAGATACAGCGCGAAATGAATTTTTAGCTTTTCGGTTTATGGAAAACTAAGACATTCTGAAAAATAATTAGGCCTGCCAAATTAAATTTACGCGTTGTTTCCACTGGTATAATGCAGCGGATAAGGTCAAAACTTCTAAAATATTTCGACAATATTTCATTGAAAACCAATCTGGTTAAGAATTTTTTGTTGTCTTGAAAAAAATAGATCTGCAAGCAGATAGTAGACTCGGTAGTCCAACCTTCATTAAATTAGTCAGAGTTGCGAAAGTGTCACGAATGCAAGTCAACGCACCTTTAGTCTCTCTTGCGGAGCATTCTTGAGCTAAAGGGCTAAAGGTTGTTTAGCAGTCTGTTCGACATGCGAACCTTCGAATTCAGAGAAATTGAGCATTTTGTGACGAATGGCGGGGAGCACCACATTCTCGACTTATCGTTCAACTCATGCACCACCGTCAAGTACAGAGCTGAGCAAGACAGGTTCAAAGTATGTATTCAATAAGGGAAAATATTCTGTCGCATGGCTGGAGGAGATGATTAGCAACAGGGAAAATACTGATTGCCAGTAACATTTCTTATCCTTTACATATGACGAGTCGCCGCTTACTCGAGGCCTGGTTCTTAATGCGTTGTTTTTCAGCAACGGCACTACCTTAAGATTTGATCTGCACATCAAATTTTAGACTCTACCTCTTTATTAAGGTCGTTCACTTGTGCAATACACTAACTCATTGTAATTAATATTTTAATATTGTTATTTATACTTGAAGTGAAAACTTTACTCTCGTTTACGATCATACCATAGTGACTATACGGCATCCCGTCTGATCTGCCAAATCAAGCACCGTTGTGCTTCGATCGGAGACGGCTTGGGAATCCCCAGGGTCGTAGGCATTTTCCTCACTGCTATGATTTTACTCATTTTAAACCGCTATTTCTTTTCTTCCCTCCATATTGGTAATATTTGACGTTTAAATGGTCGTTTTCAGCCACGGAGATTCTTGTTTCCTTCTTTTCGTTACCCTTTATATTGCCCATTGCCTTTTTCTCTTCAGCCAACATTTTTCTATCATGTAAGGCCGCGGTTGAGTTCTTTTCCTTCCTGCTTGATAGCATTACACCTTTGCCAGCGTAGGCTTCATCACGCATGCAGATAATGCGATGGAACTAATCGTGTTTTCTTCACTGGTTTTGATTAGTTGATTTCCAACCTTGAGTTCAAACTTGAACGCAATTTTGAGGCTCAGACGTTAGGTCATTTTTGGTAATTTTTCTTTTTGGTTACGTACGTTGACATATTATCCTACCACTAAATTCAAGCTTTTCGCTTACTTCTGTACTACGATATAATTAATTTGCTGAAGAATTAATATGCCATATAAAACATAATCATCAATTCTCAAACACTGATTTATTACTAAATCAGCTATAATGTTTGCTCTATCAGTTACGAAAATCTTAATATTGCTCAAGTCACGTCCATCTACAGTGGCATGGCAGGGGCGGGGGAGTGAGGGCAGACGACCGTTAATTTCGATTCTTTGCCGCCAGCGCGTCTTGCCATATAAATTCTATTGCGATGGACTCCTGATCTTGTTTGCTGCGGAAATCTTATATTTGACTTCACCGAACGGCATGCCTCACTTCGGACTGAGGAAGAAAACTATTTATGCTCGGACCTTAAACATTAAAAAAATCACGAAAGTATAAATTCTCGTCATATCTCAGGAGGGAGAATGAGATTACTTGGAGGTTAACCAAATACGGAGTCGGGTAAGGTAGAAATTTTCAAATCCATTTCTGATTAAACATGGATATTGCAGCGTTTCGGCTGAGAATGGAAATGCAGAGTAATTGTTCCCACATTCGAAAGAACAGATAATCCACTGTTCTACTTACCCAGTAGTATCACGCTACCTTTAATCCGTCCGGATAATCCTA